TAGTGGTCATCCAAGAAATTATAGCATGCATTTTTTGTTTTTGAGACAGGGTCTTACTATGTAGTGCAGGCTGACCTTGAACTCACAGTGATTCTCTTGCCTCAGCCTCCTAAATGCTGACATTACAGTTGTGTGCCACAACACCTGGCTAAGCATGCATTTTTAACCTAAGAGAATCTAGTAAAAACTTTATTTTTCTAATTTATGACAAAAGGCTTAAATTTTGGAACTTTTAAACTTTGTAATTCTTCCTTTTAAATAATTGCTACTATGAATTTAAATTTCATATATATTATTTAAATCCTTTAAGAAACTACTGTCATTGCCTAGTATAATCAATATTCTGTTAATATTAATTTACATTTACCCTTCAGTTACTTTTCATTTCTTCTTGCAGTACTGTGATCCTATTAGGGCTGTTTTCCTTCCTAATGAATTCCATTAAAAGTATTTCTTTAATGGTCACACAGTGCAGGTGTGACTGTGATTAATTCTCTTAGTTTCTGTTTTCCTGATAAATTCATTTCTGAAGGATATGTTTATTGAACAGAATTCTAGTCTGGCAATAATTTCCTTTCAGTTCTTTAAAGACGTTTTTCCTTTGTATTTTGATTTCATTATTTTTTTTTGTTAAGTCAGCTCTTCCTTATATAGAGGCTCCTTAAAAGTAGTATCATTTAGAGCTGGGGATATAGCTCAGTGGTATAAGCACCTGCCTGGTAAACGCAAAGTTGTGAGTTCAATACCCAGCACTGCAAAACAGACAAAAAACAAACAAACAAAAGTAATACCATTTAGGTTGCTGCTTTTAAGGTTTTTCCTCTTTGGCTTTGGTCTTGAAGAGTTTTCTATGATATGGCATGCTTTATTTTTTTACTTATCTTGATTAGGTTTTGTTGCCCATATTTAAGGATTAAAAACATTACCTATTTGGAAAATTATTGGTCATTATCACTTCAAATATTGCTTATACCCACTTTTACTCTCTTAGCCTAAGATTACATACACATGTGTGCTAGAGTTTTTGGTTATATTCTATATGACATTAACGTCTTTTTAACATTTTTTATTATTTTTTTTATGTTTCTCTTTGGATTGGTACATTGGCCTGTCTTCCATCCACTACTCTTATATTTCTTTATATTTATGACATTAATCATTTATATACTTTTATGTCAGATATTATACTTTTCAGTTATATTTTTATTTTCCATTTTAAAATTTCAATTCTTAGGTACAGTGCTCTTTTTTATTTATTGTTCCTTATTTTTAACTTACTGTCATATTTACTTTAACATCTTTGTTAGTTAATTGTAGTATCTGGTTCTACAGATCATCTATCGGTCATTTGTGTTAGTATTTTCAGTTTTATTCCTATCATCCACCTTATGTGTATGAACCTAGTACTTTTATTTTTACCGAATGCTAGATATTTATGTAAAAAGCTACCCAAAATTAAGCTATTATCTTCTTCAAGGGAGAGTTCACCTTTCCTCTGTTAGCTTTAAGGGGCACTATCTAATCAAATCACCTTTGTCTGAACAGGCACTGTGCTTAGTCAGGGTTCTTTGTAGTTCTGATAAGCACAGAGCTGCTGCAGAATTTTCAAATGAGAAGTGGTATATTAAATATGGCCCTTCCAATGGCAGGTCCTAAAAGTAATCTTTACATAGCAAGACAAACTTTACTCTATTTTTTTTACACAAATTTTTCACTCTGGGTTTTAGTCTTCTCAGGGCTGGCCTGAATTTGACAAATGTCCTGAGGGGGAAACAGGCACTGAACTTTAGTGGTTCCATCTGCCACAAGCTACTAAAGTTACTCAGATCTTGTCAAAAGCCTATTGTTTGTTTCCAGACTTTGCAGATATCCTTGGAGTAAAACTGGCTTAGGACTCTGTTCTTATCCTGGAGAATTTTCATTTTCAGAAATCTTGGCCCACTTAGCTCTTATTATGATCTGCTTTCTATTGCATTAAGGGGATAATTTGTGATATTCAGCCAACTTTTATGGTTCCTTTCTGCTGTCAGGTAATCCATCTAATGTAGAAGATGAACTTCACCAAATACATGAATAAATTTTAACCTCTCACTTTAAATGTATATTTTGTGACTTTTGATCATGAGAAGAGGAAATCTAGAAGTGATATTAGCTTACACTGCCTTCAGCAGAATTTCTGCTCCTCAAAGGTCATGCTGCATCTACTACCTGCTGGGCCTAAAAAGATCAGCAAAAAAGATTATAAAAGATGCACATATATTAGAAGTAGTTGTGAAAAAGTATCTTGAAATGTGTGTTATTTGGACATATTTGGACTCCATTCTCTGTTTTAGTTCTGTGAAAATAGAACTGGCATATTCCCAGAGGGTATACCTCTTGTGAACATTCCTTGTGCCATGTTTATTACTAAATTTTAATAATTGAATTTCAAAATATTAATCTTTTCTACAGTATGGTAGTGGTCCTTAGCTGGTAAGGAATTACCCATACTATATGAATACATATAGGGATCAGGTGCATTCTGGCTGTTTATTTGGCCAGTGTTCTTTGGGTGATTATGCAAATTAGACTTTCCTAGCATAAACAAATCAAGTGAACTTGGACCTTCATGATGCTGAAATATATTGGTGAAAATGGCAACCAGATTTCTTATTGTACATAAAAGCTATTTCATGTGAATAGCTAAAAATAAATGGAGAAGTCATTAGAGTTGGCTACAATATTTACATCACATATTTATTCATATTTAACTGTTTTCACTTTTACCTTTTCCTTATTTCAATTCTTAAATTGAACAAAAAGCAAAATTATGTTTGAGAGTAACAACTGGTCAATAATTTTCCTTTTTATTTCATTATGTTCCAAGAAAAAATAATTCAGGGGGAAGTTCAGGGGGAAGTAGATTAACACTTCAGATTTAAAAATAAGCATGTTAGATTACAAAGCAAGCTCTTCAACTGCTCCTATTCTGTCAAAAGCTCAATGAAGTTGCCCTGTAGTTATATCCATATATATTTAACTAGTTAGAAGTTTCATAGTCATCTTATGTGGCTTATTGAGCACAGCATAGAACAATTATAATTCAGGAAATTCATTACTGTTTCAAACTATTAAGGGACAAAACAATACATATTTCATACAAATGATTGGAAAATTAAGTTAACTCAAAATAATTGAAGGTTACACTAAAGAGTAAAATGGAAGATGATTAAATATCAAACAAACATTATTTTGTTGATAAAGACTGGTCAAATGTACAAAGTAATATAAAGTGAAAAAAAAATCCAAGATTAACTTGTGATCATAATGAAACAGGATAGCCAACATTTAGAAGAAATTTTGGACTCTTTTGAAAGGCAGGGAGAAGCTTCAGGAAGACCAAAGGAAATACACACAATCAACTACACTTATGGTTGAGGAGGTAGCACATGGATAGCATGCATGAGGCCCTGGTTTCTGTCCATATCCCAGCATCACAAAACCAAACCAAACTAAACTCAATCCTTCCCAATTCCAAAATTGCAAACACTATAGTTAGCCTCCTATTTACAGGTCAAAAGGAAGGACAAAAAAATACATGATATTCTAACAGTTCTGAATTGTGTGGTGGAATTTAGGATTTATTTCAGATGATGGGGTTATTTTTTCTAACAAGGTTCATAAAGCAGTGATATAACATAGTTTTGTTTTGGTTTGCTTTTCTTGCTGAACTGAACTTAGCCTACATACATGCATGTTCTGCCACTGAGCTATTTTCTCAGTCCCTTAACCATTTTAGTTAAAGGGATGGCAAATTATATAAGCTTATCTCTTTATCATTTATAAAAGAGGATTATTTTTAAAAATTTAACATTAATTTTATGAAATACAATATTCTAGATATGTAGAAAATATGTACTGCCCTGTAATATAATCTCTAGCATATGTGTGGTGCACACAATAGAAACAGATCACAATTTTAGTGCGCTAATATTTTAATGAAGTGCATGTTTACTTACAGTGTAAGAGAAAGGAATACATAAAGTTTTGTGGTTCTGGTTCTTCAGGAGCTTAATTCGATAGTATAGTCAACCAGAAATGTAATGGTAACTATAAAGAATTTCAGCTACAGGATAGCTCAGGGGTAGAATGTATGTCTAATCTGCAAGAGGCCCTAGGTTTAATCCTCAGCGTCAACAAAATAAGATGAAGACTTTCAAACAATTTACCCTTGAAAAGATGGTCACATGATAAGTAATACAAAAATGGAAATTTAAGATTTCACGAAAATTTAAAGATATTCCAATAAAATGCGTTAAGTTGATTAAAATAAAATTCATTTGTGACAGTCTTACTATGCAGTATTGGTTGGCTTGAGATTCATTATGTAGCACAGGCGAGGCCAAGAACGCTGATCTTGAAGTGCTCACCTATAAGTTTTTATACTACTTCAGTATTTCATAGTTACTGAAAGATTATTCACTGAGAGAATGTAAACTATCGAGAAAAAACTTAATATCCAGCACTGCTAACAATAGTAAATATAATACTAAAAGGGAGGGAACAAGGACAGTGTTCTGAGGAACATGAATAAGTTTGCAATGGTAGTTTGAATATTTACATCACAACACAATTTTTTAAGAGAAACTGCAGTGTGAACTTCAGCAAAATTAATGGGATTCGTTGAACAAATACTACACTTAACTAAATACAGAGCTGTTCCTGCAGTTGGGATTCTCTCTAGCTTCGCTCCCCGTGTCCAGACCCATGAGGTTGGGGAATAGAGGCTTGAGGAATTTGAACTCACCAGTGCCAGAGTCTCCAGAGAGACACACCTCATACTGGTAGCTGTGGGCCAGGGTCCCGGCGCCGCTGACGTCCAGCAGGCGGGCCGGGAAGGGGCCCTCGGGCGCCGG